AGGACCAGATCCTGGATCTAAGTGAGACCGAGCTGACCTATGAAGCTGCTCTTCAGCGTAACCCCAGGATCCTGGGTAAACTATTGCCTCGTTCATTTAGACACCAAAAACCTTTACAACTTCATGTTGAACCATGAATCAACTGAGACAATAAATGAATGAATATCACATGAAGTAAAACCTGTACAGCCGTTGGTGCTTCAGTTCTTACTTTATTCTTTGAACTGAGCCAATTGTTGGAAGTGAGGTTCTGTGAAAATCTTAAGAACAATTTAAATTTTACCTGCTCCTTAAATATGGCCTCAGACTCTCAGATGTTATAACAGGAAATGGACAGGGTAGTGCAGTGGGAGGGATATGTTTGGTCTTAAAAATATCTGATAGTGATATTTCTACTGAGAGAAAAATGCAACAACTGAACGTTAACTAGAAAAAAATGTGAAAGCCCAAGTTAAGAGTTCAAAAAACAAGCAGGAAGAGCAGCTTTGTTATATTAGCTTTGAGCCAGCCTTTTGGTATTTCATCCATCCATCCATTTTCTTTACCCGCTTATTCCATTTTGGGTCACGGGGGTCGCTGGTGCCCATGTCCAGCAATCACTGTGCGAGGGGCGGGGTACACCCTGGACGGGTCGCAAGTCCATCACAGGGCCACATAGAGACAAACGAGACAAACAACCATTCACTCTCTCACTCACACCTAGGGACAATTTAGAGTTACCAAACAGCCTAACGTGCATGTTTTTGGACTGTGGGAGGAAACCGGAGTACCCGGAGAAAACCCACGCATGCACGGAGAGAACATGCAAACTCCACCCAGAAAGGCCCCTGGACCGGGGTTTGAACCAAGGACCTGCTCGCTGAGAGGCAGCAGCTCTACCAGTTGCGCCACCGTGCTGCGCCTTTTGGTATTTTTAGGTTTTAATTCTGCCTGTGTTGTTTCCTAAAACCAGATTGATGTGAAGATAAGATGTTAAAAGAATCCAAATACTTCTTGACTTGAGAGTTTATCAATTTTTCTAAAATCTTAGCAAGAATACAGAGTTTAGACTTTAGAGATTGGTCAATAGTTGTTCACTATGGTGGGTCTCCTCTCTTCAGTAAAGGTAGAACAAAAGCTGTTTTCAAAGTATTTGAAACGGTATTTGTGTGTGGACAGATTAAAGACGGACACCAGTTCTGCTAGGATTTGTGCCGCTAGCCTTAAGAAATAAGGAGGGAGGTCATCAGGGCCTGCAGATTTTCTAGAGTCCAGACCTTTTAACCGTTTATTAACCTCACTAACTGAGAACAGTGAAAATGAAAAGGTGTGGTTTACTGAGGTTTGACTTGTAAGAGAAATTTGATTTGTAGAAGTGTGACTTGAAGGAGAAGTAGGTGGTTTTCCATTAGTAACTGTGACAAACAAAGAGCTAAAGGCAACAAAATGTTGAACAATTTAGAATCTCATGCTTATTTGACACAGGAACAGAGTTAACAAGCAATTGTGGTAGTAGATCAGATGAACTGGAGCTGACAGAAAGTGATTTGATAGTTTTCCAAAAAAAAAAAATAGGGTCATTTAGATCTTTGGAGGTCTGAGATACAAAGTAATTACATCTTGCAGCTTTGATGGAAGCTGTTCAATGATTCCGTAGCTGATGAAATTGCAGCCAATCAGTATTTGAACCAGAAAGTCTTGCAGTTGCCCAAAAAATTATCTCTCCTGTGCATGAGATCAGCTAACAGAGTAAACCAGAGGCTGTCTCTGCCTTTAATTCTGAACTGGCGAAAAGGGGCACATTTATTTACAAACTAGCTTAAACTATTGTGAAAATAGTTCCAAACAAGGTTCACGTCATCAATACGTAGAGTACAATGCCAGTCAAAATGGAACAGGTCCCAAAGGAAGGCCTGCTCGCTAAAATGCTTCATGTTGCTTTTTAGAATTAATCTAGGCTTGGAGCGAGGCAATTTAGTATCCCTAATGGCACCAACATTACATTGATCACTCATATCATAAAACACCCAAACCAGATTTAAAATAGACGATCTTCCTTGACATTTAGTGTGTTTCAACCAGTGTTTTCCTATTTTTATACTGTAACTCATCTTTTGCTCCCAGTAGCTTTTAGTTAGTGTTCTGCTTATTTTAGCTTTAGCAGTTCAATTTCATTTTTTTAGCTATTATTTAGCACTCAGCAGCCACAGTGAATTTTTGGGGAAATCAAAAACGTGTTGTCATTTTAAATACAATTTGTTCAGTTTTTTAAACAAAAAGTAGCTTAATCTTCAGCTTCAGTTACCCAATGCATATTTCTGTGTTCAACATCTTTCCCTGCAGAGAAAACCAGATTCTTCACAGTGACTAAATAAAATCCCCATTTAATTTACTGGAGATGGCTGGGTTCATGCATGTTTATCTATTTAATTGCTTTCTTTAACCACATGTTTTTGTTCTGGGCTGCAGGGAGCTGGAGCCTAACTCCAGTAGTCACTGAGCAAAGAGGAGACTTGGAAACACCCTCTTTCTGTCTCATGAGCCGGATAATTTTAAAAATAAGAAACGTGCCAACTTTCATTTTGATGTGTGGCTGCATTTATTTTGGTATCAAAATTTGGGTTGCCATATCAAAATGAATGAATGAATGAATGAATGAATGAATGAATGAATGAATGAATGAATGAATGGATGGATGGATGGATGGATGGATGGATGGATGGATGGATGGATGGATGGAAAGATTCATTCATTCATTCATTCGCTTAGAATCCAGGAACTCTCTTATTTTGACAGGGTGTGTTCTGGTAACTGCTTGGATCCAGTAACTCTCAGGCTTACTAATAATAAAGTTATGAACAAATATGTATGTTCTCTCCGTGCATGCGTGGGTTTTCTCCGGGTACTCCAGTTTCCTCCCACAGACCAAAAACATGCATGTTAGGCTGATTGGTAACTCTAAATTGTCTCTAGGTGTGAGTGAGAGAGTGAATGGTTGTTTGTCTCGTTTGTCTCTATGTGTCCCTGTGATGGACTGGAGACCTGTCCAGGGTGTACCCCGCCCCTCGCACAGTGATTGCTGGACATGGGCACCAGCGACCCCCGTGACCCAAAATGGAATAAACGGGTAAAGAAAATGGATGGATGGATGAACAAATATATGACTGCCTTGAACAAAGACGTAAATAAATGTTCTGGAGACATTTTCTCAGCCAGAACCATTAGAATAATGCTGTCCATCATCTCAGACTCAGGCTGGTGTTTACTTATACAACATCAGAGTGTGAATAAAGTACTGCTGCCTTCAAGTAATGTTCGAAATGCAAGATTCTCCCCTTTTTAGTCTTAAGTAGAATAACACTGCAGCGAATGAGTGAACCAATCAAACCGAGACTATCTCTCCAAGCTGAGCTCATTCTATAGTTATCCACAACAGGTGAGATATTCATGCATAAAACATTCCCACAGAACCCCACTTTAAAATGTCTGAACTATCATATTAAGCCACTAACAACATGTAACTGAGCTTTACTCTTCTGTCACACCTCATCAGCTCTACAAGAAATGCTCAATGGAAAGATCTACAAGCTGAGAAACAAAGGACAGTCGCTGTCAGAGGGTCAGTCAGACACTCTAACCCCAGCTGCATTTTTTCAGTCATCATTCATTCAACCTTTATTTATACAGGTTAGTTAAGACTTGTTACAAAGTAATTCCTGGTTCCCGCTCTCTGTTGGTCTTTCAGTGCTGGAGCTGGTTTCTGTGCGCAGCAAGATTACATTGTTGGAGAAGAGGATCCAGATCCTGACTGAGGAATCCAGGTCTAAAAGTGCTGGTGAGTCCCAGACTTGGATCTCGTTGTGAAGTTTCAGCTGTTGTCCGAAACATTTGATTCCTTATTTCAGACGCCATGAGGCGATGGAAGGAAAAGGCTGAGCAACTTAAACAAACAATTCTGCTGTTGATTGATCATGAGAGCAACACAAATCTCAGTAAGTGAGCACCTCAGTTGTTTTTTTATCTGCTGTCGAAGGTGATAAAACCACTGCCTGTGTGTTTCTTTATGTTAGCAAAATATCAACATCACGCATAACATCCATCCAAACATAAGAGGATGATATGCATTCCTTCAAGAACTGTTAGACCTGAACTTATCTTTGCTTTTAACAATAATTTGATGTCTTTTTTTTTCCAGCAAGAGAAATTCTGAAGCTGCAGATGGAGCTGCAGCATTTAAAAAAGCTGATTTCTAATCCCAAAGAGATGCTGGAATCCACGCTTTTAGGTGAATGAACTCATGAAGTCTCACGAGCACACACCTTTCTTTGCAAAGTCATAAAAAAAATTCATGAAGTAAATAAAATCAGCTAAAAATGTACTTAGAAAGGGCCAAAGTGGCTAAAAATGGGTCAAATGTTGAACTTATTTGCCATATTTGTTGACTTAATGAAGGTTCATCATGTGACTCAACGCTTCCACGCTGTTTTTGGCAGATTCACATTGTTTACGTCGAGTGTGGACCCACATTTCAGAATTGCATTCACTAAATCTGTAAAACTGCTGCGCCCTTTGATATAATTCAATAAAAGATTTTTTTATGAGTTCACAGTTTGCAGTGAGTAACTTTGACATAAGGCTGCAGACGTGAATGCAGAGAGTCATTAACGTGTTTTCTTTAAACACAAGAATTAACAGAAGAGTTGAAGGCAGAGAGAAAGCAGGAGGCCTTTCTACAGAAGAAGCTGGAGGAGGCAGAAGGCGCTGTCGCTCAGCTCAGTGAGTCAGAGTCGGGAGGTGGATCACTTCTGCTTTGTGTTTAAAACATCCCAAGTTCAGAACAACAGGATGAGTATTTTCTTTTACTTTGTACAGTTGTGAAAATCGTCAGTATGATGAAAGAGCTGAGAGCACAGGAGCGGACGTCTCCAGGTCAACGCCCGGGTGAGAGCACATTCTGCACAAAACAAAATCATTCAAATTATTTCAGTCCGATGTTAACATCCTCTTTTTTTCTTTAAACAGACATTTTGACTCTGCTTCAAACATCCCAAACGGAAGTAAAACGTGAGTTTTCTTAGGCAGGATTTGCTTCTTTACTCATTTTAGATGAAAATAAAATCGATTTGCTCTTTATGTAAACTGCAGGTCTGCAGGAGGAGCTGCAGCAGACCCATGAGAAGTTCTCTGGACTTGAGGAAAGCTCCAACAGTGAGCTGCTTCTCTGACCAACTCAAACCTCAAGCACATGGTGCAAAATTACATTTGCTTTAACTTGGTGTGTAAAACTCTTTGTTCTAGAGCTGAGCGAGGAACTGAAGATTAAAGTGGAGGAGAACCAGCATCATCAGACTGTGATCCAAGGTAATCCAATTCAATTCAACTTTATTTATACAGGTTAGTCTCACTGAGTCACGAGGACTCATTTACAACAGAAACCATTGGTTACGTACTGTAACCCCAGATTCTATGAGTATAGGCGCAGCCTTTTAAGGCTATCGCTAGTGGGTTTATCCCTTTGCGCGTGCTGGTGAAGATTCTCAGTCATCCAGAACATGATGAATTCAAAAAGCGTTCAATACCAAAACAACTTGACTTTATTTGTAACAGAAGACGTTTCGCTCCTCATCCGAGGAGCTTTCTCAATTCAATGAGCAGTGAGTGAGAGATTCACTGCTCATTGAATTGAGAAAGCTCCTCGGATGAGGAGCGAAACG